TTGTTATGCCATTGATATGTAATATAGCCTTATCTATGGTGTTCTTTCCACCAACAAAATATCATATGCACTCAAAAATTGAGTTCTGGTTATATTTCAGAAGTTAAGAAATGCACCTACGAAATTTACCTACAAATCTAGTTCCTCTGAAATTTAGTGGTTGTACAGAGAATGGAAAAAATGGATCATGGTCACATATTCTCTTGTTGAAACAAACTTCATTAAATGCACAACAGCCTAAGTAGAAACAAACTACATATCAACCTTCTCTTTCTCTCTTATTTTTAGAAGAAAAGGTTTGTCGGTTGTCGATGTGACAATAATATCCTTGGTTGTTATGGGTGCAGGCACGAAGAATGCTTGACTTGTGGGCAAGATGCGCAACCTCTCGTGGCAATATTATAAGGAAGCCGATCAACTCCTCCATGTAAATTTCCCAAACATTCGGTTCATTTGGTCTTCTCTTGCGGATGTATTGGTTCCTAATTTACTTGGGTTATATTTACAGTTTAAGATTTCTCGAGGTGTTGCAAATTTTGGGGATGGGCTTGCTGACTCCTACGCCTTATCATTGATTCCGGTTTTCGATATCAATGTAAATATTCAACACATCCCTAGCTTAATTGACTTCTTTTATCTTTTAAATCCGTAAAATAAGTGAATAGATGTTTCTTGTGGGTGTGTGGGTTACTAATTGCTTTATTCTTGTCATTACGCATGTAATGTTTCTTAATTTTTTTAATACTTCTCTTGATTGGCATATTCCGGCATTGTTGCTTTCAAGAAATTCTGTCCGCGGAGTTGATTCAACCGTTCGAATTATTGTAGAAACCAGCCATGGCCTCGCATACGCTGGTGTCCAAAATGAGCCACTCCACCCCATTTCTTCTATATGCACTCTCAAACCTTTTCTTCTCCACCTATTTCTAATTAGATATTCTTGACAGGTGAATGGCGTGGGTGCGGAAAGGAGACTCGGAAGTGATACGGATTCGGAAGTGGCACAGGTATGTGTTTGTTTTAGAATGTCTACATTCCTAGATTTTAACACTTTTGGAATATAAGTTTGCCGGTTGTGGAGGTGGCCATAATATCCTTGGTTCCTATGGGCAAGCACGAGGAATG